GTGTAAATGAGTTACTGACAATTTGCTAGTTTTATCTTTTCTGTTCCTGTTCTTGGAATAATTATAGAAAAATCATACGGAGTCGAAAACTGATTCCGTAAATTCTGAGGGTTTAGAAACTGTGTCTACTTTGTTCATAATTTTTATTATGATTTTTAGAAGTCTCTAACTGGTGTGAAAACGTTCATATTCACTGACTGGTCCGAATTCGTTGCTACAGTGATAGGCAGTTTTGTAAAAATCGCCATAAATTGTAGAAAAATCGTATGGAGATGTGCAAGTAGTCATTTTAAAGGTATGCACCTGAACTAATTGCATATTAAACAGTTTTGAAAGATAATAAGTCTAAGTTGGTCAATGCAGTCCGTGAATAGGACTCAACTTTTCTGATGAAAGCTGTTGTTTGAGTTTAGTCAAGTTGTTGGTGTTTTAACTTGTATTCCCCCACTTAAAACTTAAGAAAAACATGAAAAGATAGGGGTATGAACTCACCTTGAGTGATCTCTTAGGAGGGATGATGGAGAAAAGGAGTTTCCAAGTCAAGAACACTTGGGTGATGCTTGAAGATTTGAAGGTTCTATGAACAAATATGATGATATTTGTGTAAGCAATCCATAGTTTGGAGGAAGGATAGTAGAATATTTAAGTGTAGGAGGGAGATACTTACAAAATATGGAGGAAAAACCCAACATCAGCCTTTGAATCTCGAATTTTAGAGAGAGAAAGTGAGAGAGATGTGTTTGTTATTCTTGAGAAAGAGTGTAATAAGTGGGAGGAGAGATAAGGGTTTTTCTATCCTTGTGGCAAGGTACTTGGCTGGAAAGAGTGGGGAAAAAGGACAATGAAATGACCAGGTATGGTAAAATAGTAACTGGGGATGGTCTTGGAGTGGGTATGGGAGGTAACTTGTGTCTTTGCCCAAAGGGTAAGTCAACACTCCACCCATAAATCTTACCTACTAGATTTTATTCTTAGGCAATGATTTTCCCCAAAATATAATTAAAATATGGATATTTAGGGTTTATTATGTTAAAATACGAGTTTGGGTGAAAATCCCGCGTTAAAATCACGAAAAACGAGCTTAAAAAACGAAGTTTGGGTCAAAAACCGGCAATAGGACCGAACCCTGCGAGGTTCGGCTCTAAGAGAGTGAGAACCGAGAGAAGGGAAGGAAGGAACCGAGAGGAAGAGGAGGGGACCGAAGGTGCGAGGGGGAGGGACCGAAGGTCCGAGGTCTCGGTTCGGTCTGCTGAGCTTCGGTCCGAGAGGGTGTAGTTCGCTTCTGACATCTTCGCTTCTGACAAGTTCGGTTCCTAAGAGTTGCTCGGCTTCTGACTCTGTTTTCGGTGGCTCCTAGTCCGGGCTTCTGCTCTCTAAGAGGGTTCGGCTCGGCTCCTTAAGAGGGTTCGCCTCCTTAAGAGGGTTCGGCTCCTTAAGGCTGTTTTTCGCGTAGACTTCCGTTTTCGAGCTGTTTTCGTCTAATTCGAGGGTCGGGATGCCCCGAGTGATTATAAACAGTTGAGAAAGATTTCGAGAGAGATTTGGGAGAGATTTCACACTCTTGGAGAGATTTCTCATACAGAGAGATATTTGGGAGAGATTTCTCATACAGAGAGAGATTTGGGAGAGATTTCACATTCTTGGAGAGATTTCTCGTACAGAGAAAGATTTGGGAGAGATTTCACATTCTTGGAGAGATTTCTCGTACAGAGAGAGATTTAGGAGAGATTTCACATTCTTGGAGAGATTTCTCATACAGAGATAGATTTGGGAGAGATTTCACATACTTGGAGAGATTTCTCATACAGAGAGAGATTTGGGAGAGATTTCATATTCTTGGAGAGATTTCTCATACAGAGAGAGATTTGGGAGAGATTTCACACACTTGGAGAGATTTCTCATACAGAGAGAGATTTGGGAGAGATTTCACATACTTGGAGAGATTTCTCATACAGAGAGAGATTTGGGAGAGATTTCAGATTCTTGGAGAGATTTCTCGTACAGAGAGAGATTTAGGAGAGATTTCACATTCTTGGAGAGATTTCTCATACAGAGAGAGATTTGGGAGAGATTTCTCATACAGAGAGAGATTTCTCATACAGAGAGAGATTTGGGAGAGATTTCACACACTTGGAGAGATTTCTCATACAGAGAGAGATTTGGGAGAGATTTCACACACTTGAGAGATTTCTCATGCAGAAGAATTTGGGAGAATAGAGTGAAAGAGGTTGAGAGAGACTATTTTGACCTTTTTGAGTGTTGGTGGCTTCGTAACGCAAGGGTCTTACACTCTGTTAAGCCTCGTTATGATTGTTATATGCCCTCGAGGGTTAAGGAATAATGTTTTATCGAATAGATTCATCACTTACCCTGATTAGGGTTTAGAATTTCCAAACACGTGAATACTCTAAGTGATACTTTGTATTAAAATTGTGAGTTGTACAATAAGAAACGTAATGGAAACCCTAACATACAAGGGTTAGATGAGTTGACCGGTTTGACTTGTTGACTTTAGTTGACTTTGACTTGACCAAAAAAATTGACAGTTGTCACAGCAACCCACAACTTCCTATCATTACGGCTGGTCCAGCCATTAGGGTTCTCCATTTCAGGCACGCACGAGAAGGAGATTAGGTTGGGCAACGGAGGTATAGATCGAAGAATCGGGATTTGTAAAAATGTGCTACTATCGTTGCCCGGTTATGACTTGACTCACGACTTTTACCCGTTAGAATTGGGAAGTACGGACGTCATATTGGGTATCGCGTGGCTGCAAACACTGGGCGACACACGGAATAATTGGCGCGAGCTAACCGTGACATTTAAGGATAAGGGTCGTAAGGTGACTCTACAAGGTGAACCGAGGTTGAACCGATCAGATTCGTCCCTACAATCGTTAGTGAGGAGTATAACCCAGGTTAGCCAAGGGTTCTTGATTGCGGTACAAACAACTGGAAGCCAACGACCATAAGGAGGACAACACTCACCCGGAACTAGAAGGCCTGTTGAAGGCATTTGCGGATGTATTTAAGTTGTCGATAGGGTTGACACCCCCTCGAGGTCACGAACATGCCATCACGTTGAAAAATGACACTGAACCCATTAATGTGCGGCCATACCGCTACCCGCAACTACAGAAAAACGAGATATAGCGAATGGTGGAAGAGATGTTGACTGTCGGAGTCATACGGCCGAGCTCAAGCCCGTTCTCGAGCCCGGTCCTTCTAGTAAAAAAAAGAAGGAAGCTGGCGTTTCTGTGTAGACTACCGAGCATTAAACAAATCTACGGTGTTGGATAAGTTCCCAATCTCGGTCATTGACGAGTTACTAGACGAACTTCACGAGGCAACAATTTTTACAAAATTGGACTTGAAATCAGGTTACCACCAAATCCGGATGAAACGGGAAGACATGCCAAAAATGGCCTTTAGAACTCACGAAGGGCATTATGAATTTCTAGTAATGCCCTTCGGACTCACAAACGCTCGGTCGACATTTCAATCTCTCATGAATAAGGTCTTTCGTCCCTATTTTGCGTAAGTTTGTCTTAGTTTTCTTTGATGATATTCTCGTGTATAGTCGAACTTTAGCCGATCATCAGCAACATTTAAAGGTTTTCGAATGCTTGCGAAACGAGAAGTTATTTTGCAATAGAAAAAAGTGTGTCTTCGGTCAAGCTCAAGTTGACTATTTGGGTTACGTGGTGACCAGTGAGGGCGTAGCAGCTGATCCTAGCAAAATTTCGGCAATGTTGGGATGGCCGGTACCGAAAACGATCAGAGAACTGCGAGGTTTTTTGGGACTAACCGGGTATTATTGAAAATTTGTGCAGGGGTATGGCAGGATCGCGAGACCGTTGATCGACTTACTCAAGAAAGACAAATTTCATTGGGGAGAGGAAGCATCACAAGCATTGGGTTACGTGGTGAGTGAGGGCGTAGCAGCTGGCAAAATTTCGGCAATGTTGGGATGGCCGGTAACCGAAAAATCAAGAAACTCGAGGTTTTTTGGGCTAACCGGGTATTATTGAAAATTTGGGCAGGGGTTATGGCAGGATCGCGAGACCGTTGATCGACTTACTCAAGAAAGACAATTTTCATTGGGAGAGGAAGCTCACAAGTTTTCCGAGCGGTCAAAAAGCGATGACACAGGTGCTTGTTTTAGCGTTACCGGATTTTACTAAAGCTTTCACAATAGAGACCGACGCTTCAGGGTTCGGAGTCGGGGCAGTTCTTATGCAACAGAATAAGTCGGTGGCTTATTTTAGCCAAGTCTTAGGCAACCGGGCGCAACTCAAGTCGGTGTACGAAAGGGAACTAATGGCTATTGTGATGGCGGTACAAAAATGGAGACCGTACTTGTTAGGACGCCGGTTCACGGTAATAACCGATCAGAAAAGCCTAAAGTATCTTTTGGAACAATGAGTAGTGGCGGGTGAGCATCAGCGATGGATCTCAAAGCTTTCCGGTTTGGATTTTGAAATTTTATATCGACCGGGAAAGGAAAATGGGGCAGTCGGTGCGTTGTCCAGGCGAGGAGAAGGTGTCAAGTTGGCGGAACTTACAATTTCACAGGTAAGTCATGGTAGTGAGCTCTTGGCTGATTTGCTCAATGAACCTGAGTTGGAGGATTTATCTATGGATTTTGTCGAAGGCTTGCCGAAATCAGCAGTGTATAGCGTCATATTTGTAGTAGTGGATCGTTTGAGCAAGTCAGCCCACTTCATTCTGCTGAAACATCCATTCACGGCAGCATCAGTGGCGGCTACTTTCATCCGTGAGGTGGTACGTTTACATGGTATACCCCGTTCAATCGTATCGGACAGAGATAAGGTGTTCGTGAGTTTATTTTGGAAGGAAATTTTTAAGTTACAAGGAACTACTTTGAAAAGAAGTACCGCTTACCACCCTCAAACGGATGGTCAGACGGAAGTAGTAAATCGAAGTTTGGAAAACATATTTGCGGTGTTTCTCATCAGCTCAGCCGAAGGAATGGGTGAAATGGCTGCCGTAGGCAAAATATTGGTACAATACTTCATACCATTCGTCGATTCGCATGACTCCTTTTAAAGTACTATATGGACGGGACCCTCCCAAATTAATTTCTTATGACCAGGGGTTGGCTATTACATTCGCAGTGGATGAGTACTTGAGTCGTAGGGATTAAGTTCTCAAGGAACTACGGGGTCATTTGCTAAGGGCTCAACAGTTGATGAAAGCTCAAGCGGATGGGAAACGCCGTGATGTGGAGTATATGGTGGGGGATCGAGTGTACTTGAAGCTTCGACCATATCGACAGATTACTGTTGGGCATAAACGAAACGAAAAATTGGCTCCGCGTTTTTATGGACCTCTTGAGATAGTTGAGAGAATCGGCAAGGTGACTTACAAACTTGGTTTACCTGTTACTGCTGCCATTCACCCTGTTTTCCATGTTTCACAGCTTAAGAAGGCGGTGGGAGACCAGCCGGTCTCAGTTGATATTCCAAGAGAGTTGGCTACTGGGGTTGCAACAGTGTTGTTGCCCGAAAAGGTGTTGCAGAGTCAAGATAGTTCGGGCAGCAATGAATGGCTGGTCAAGTGGGTTGGGCTACCAGAGGAAGAAGCTACTTGGGAAGATCGTGACTTTATCAAGAATCAGTTTCAGGAGCATCACCTCGGGGACAAGGCGAATTTTCAGGGAGGGAGTATTGATATGAATCGTCCCGGGAGATGGTCTAAGGTGTATCACAGAAAAGGGAAGAAAGTTGCAGGGGGTGTTTAGTCCATTTCAGTTTTATGTTTTTAATTCCTATTGATAACTATTTAGTTGGATATTATTAAGTTATTTTAGGAAGCCTAGTTTTCGGCTAGGGTAGGGTTATAAGGGGGTATCGACGGCTGGAGGAGGGTTAGAGAATTTTTCTTTGTTTTCTTGTTTTTCGTGTGGAGACTCCTGAATCTCGAACTCAGGCCTTTTGGGTTTCATGCAAGCATTAAGTTACTTTTGAATTTTACTTTGGTTTGTTCTTAATTCTTCCCTGTTCTTATCAAGCTTAAACGTGTTTCTTTTGTCTACCCATCTCGCCCAAATGTCCCAATTTTGAATTCTCTAAATTTAGTGATTCCATCTCAAAGAACTTCAGCATTAGTTGGTGCTAGTGGGGCTGGAAAGTCCACCATTTTTGCTCTTTTGGAAAGGTTCTATGATCCTAATGAAGGTAACTAAGAGCTCGATATACTTTAAATTACAATTTGGTTTTGAAGCTAATCTTGGTATAAAAATAAAAAATGACATGTTTAATAATGGTGGATGGTGAAGATATAAGAAGTTTACAAGTGAAATGGCTGAGAAGTCAAATGGGGATGGTGGGTCAAGAGCCTGTCTTGTTTGCAGACACAATTTTTGAATTTTACTTTGGTTTGTTCTTAATTCTTCCCTGTTCTTATCAAGCTTAAAGGTGTTTCTTTTGTCTACCCATCTCGCCCAAATGTCCCAATTTTGAATTCTCCAAATTTAGCGATTCCATCTCAAAGAACTTCAGCATTAGCTGGTGCTAGTGGGGCTGGAAAGTCCACCATTTTTGCTCTTTTGGAAAGGTTCTATGATCCTAATGAAGGTAATTAAGAGCTTGATATACTTTAAATTACAATTTGGTTTTGAAGCTAATCTTGGTATAAAAATTAAAAATGGCAGGTTTAATAATGGTGGATGGTGAAGATATAAGAACTTTACAAGTGAAATGGCTGAGAAGTCAAATGGGGATGGTGGGTCAAGAGCTTGTCTTGTTTGCAGACACAATTCTTGAAAACATTTTAATGGGGAAAGAGAATGCCACTAAGAAAGATGTTATTGCTGCTTGTGTTGCAACGAATGCACACAAATTCATATCTGATTTAGACTAAACGGTGTGGGTGCGGTTTGGAACCGCGATGCTGACACGTGGATCGCGAACACCCCCCCCCCCCCGGGCACGGTTTCGTGCGGTCAAGACCGCAGTGCGGCCATACAAGACCGCGAAGCCTGATTGGTTGTTCCTTTTCCCCATGTTTGACCGTTGAAGATTCGTGTAATTTTGTTTTTTTTTAACCATTACTCCATCTCTCTCTCTCTCTCTCTCTCTCGCTCTATATATATAGATATATATATAGATATATATATATATAGATATATAATATATATATATATATATATATATATATATATATTATAGATAGGTTACCATTTTAACTATTTCACCACCTTCACTCCAACTTTAAACAATATTTACACAATCTTTTCATCCAATTTTTTTTGAAAAAATGTCTTCTTCCAAAAGGCCTAGCAAAGAAAAACCCCAGTCAGAAACACCAACACCCCCAATACCTTCATTTGATCAACCGATTTCTCACCTCCGTTTTACCACTACGGCGGTATGCTTCCGTATTTTCCACAACGACCAGCGCACCACTACCACAACACCACCACTACCACTACCCGACCCAGATTTTAATCCATTTGATTTTTTGTCTCAACCCGAGTTTGTTCAACAAACACAAACACAACCAGAAACAGTCGTTTCTGATTCTGAACCAGAATTCGTTATAGAAACTCAACCCACTCGAGCAGCAACTAAAAGAAAAGAGAAGGCGGAGGCTAGATGTTGGGAACCTTTGGAAGCATTAGTGTTGGCACAATCTTGGATCGATATTTCAGAAGATGCGACGGTTGGAAAAGACCAAAAGCATGACCGCTTTTGGATTCGCGTTTTACACAGGTTCCATAAAGGAATGAACCGTGGAGAATACCGTTCAAAACATCAAGTGTACTCCAAATGGGGGAAGATGAACAAGGAAGTCATGTTGTTTAATGACTTGTGGAACAACATGAAACGTTAATGGAAAAGTGGAGAAAGCGATGAAGTGATTTTGAAGAAAGCGTTGAAAGTGTATCAAAAAGGAAATCTGAAGGCTTTCAAGTTTCTTGAAGTTTGGAATTTTTTGAAAGATAACAAGAAATGGCTGAGTAGCAAAACATCAGACGAGCATATCGACAGTGGTTCAAAACGCAGCAGAACATCTGAGTCCGACCACACTACATCAGATGCTCGTGTTCAATTTGATCTGAACGAAGATGAACCTGTTCCTGTTTCACCACCTTCCCGACCAATGGGAAGAGACAAAGCAAAAAGCAAAGGCAAAGGCAAAACGTCGGATTCAGATGATTTGAAAGAAATGGGAGCCGACATGAAGGGTATAAAAGACAGAATGGACAAGATTTTGCAAATTGCTTCTGAAAGAGAGCTTCGGAAACAAAGGGAGAGCGACTTGCGAATACTAGCGACGGACACGTCGAATATGACCGGGGCCGAGCTTGAAGTGGTTTTTGCGATGAAGGAGGAAGTGAAAAACCGTTACATCAATTGTGGCTAATTTCTAGTTTTTTTTCAAGTTTTTAATCGTTTGGTGCAAACTTGTCAAGATCGGGATCTTAACCAGGATCGTTTTATGTTTTGCAAGATCGTGATCGTAAGATCGGATCGAGATCTTAAGATCCTACCAAATGAACTCATCTGCAAATTTGCTTGTAAGGTATTGAGTGTGCAACATATATAATAGTTTGATGTTGATTAAGACGTCAATATGAAGTTAACTTTAACTTTTTGAACATGAACCACAATTTTTGTTGTTTTAAAGCCTAAAATTAGGAAGAAAACATATTAATTGCAAAAAGAAATAAGATAATTATGATCATATACAACTAAAGGCTTAACATCACAAAAGGAGTATCATGAATGTGACATATCAATGAAACTCTATGAGGCTTCTTCAAACCTACAATATTCGATTTTAAGATGAAAGACGAATTTTTGAGTGTCAACTATATAATAAAACTCGAGAGGTGGGATCGGATCGTGCTAAGATCTTAAGATCCTAGCCGGGATCTTAAGATCCCACTATAAATTTTGCTTCAGATAGATCCTACTGAGATCGGGATCGTTTTTGGCTTGTAGGATCTTAAAATCGTAAGATCTTAAGATCAAGATCGGGATCTTAACAACCATGGTATGGTGTGTGTGTATTTTTTTTTAAGTTATAGGTTTTATGTTTCTAATTTGTTTTTCTAAATTTTTAGGTTTTTTTTTAAGTTAAGTAATGTATGGTATTTGTATTTTTAATTAATGAAATATTATCTTTTTAAAATTATGTTTTTTTTATTAAAAAAATAAGTTTTATTAAATTAAAATAGTTAACAAAAAAAACAAAAAAAAAAAAAGAAAATAAAAGTGTGGCACCACCCCCCTTGGTTTGGTAAGAAACCACACTTGTTGTGGTAAAAAATGACATGACGCTTATGTAGCGGGGGAGGGAGTGCCGTTTCGGTGGCACCACTCCCTCCGGCCTTACCACCAGGGTATGACACACAGGTAGGGGACAAAGGAAGCCAGCTGTCAGGGGGTCAAAAGCAACGTATTGCATTAGCTCGTGTAATGATCAAAGATCCTAAGATTCTTCTTTTAGATGAGCCCACAAGTGCTTTAGATTCAAACTCTGAGTCTCTTGTTCAACACGCCATTGATAACATCTCAAAAGGAAGAACCACAATTGTGATTGCTCATAGACTCGCAACTGTCAGAAATGCTGACATGATTGTTGTTCTTGAGCAAGGATCTGTTGTGGAAATCGGTGACCATAATCAGCTCATGACAAGAGAAGGAGCTTACTTTTCTCTCATCAAGCTTGCATCTGAAGCGGTTTCAATGAGCCCAGTAGCCGAAAAGGGCGAAATGGGTATTATAAATCATGAAGCATCTGGTACTTATGATCTGTTGAAATCAAACCATGTAAATGAGATTTCGTTATCTGGGTACATGAAATCCGCTCAAGAAGCAAACCAAGTAGAAACAGAGAAAGTATCATCATATGGGATTTCTCAAGTATGGAAATTACAGAAATCAGAGGCGAATTTGCTTTTTGTTGGTGTAATTTTTGGTATACTCGCAGGTGCGATCCTCTCTCTATTTCCATTGGTTTTAGGTCAAGCCCTAAAAGTCTATTTCAATCCAGAAAAATCAAAATTAAAGAGAGATGTGGGGTACCTTTGTTTGGCATTGATCGGATTAGGGTTTGGGTGTATTCTCACCATGACGATTCAACAAGGGTTCTGTGGTTTGGCGGGAACAAAGCTCACCAAGAGGGTTCGTGATGTTCTTTTCCGGTCAATACTGAAACAAGAACCGGGTTGGTTTGACTCAGACCAAAACTCAACCGGAATACTTATTTCAAGGTTGTCTGTTGACTGTATAAGTTTCAGATCAGTTCTAGGAGATAGATATTATGTTATATTCATGGGTTTGAGCTCAGCTGCTGTTGGACTAAGAGCATCCACATCGGTGCAATGTGGGGAGCTTGCAATACATGCCACATAAAAATAATTAAATAAATAAGCAATTAACAATTCATAAATGTGGGCCATTTTTTTTGCAAGGCTTTCAATACTTGAAAGAAGTGTGTGGACATGGCATATTAATATTATACAAGTGGCATTGCAAGTTGTTTGAAAGATGGCGCTGTCTCGTTTTATCTTGAATGGAGGTTAGCCCTTTTGGCTACTATTCTTACTCCATTTACACTTGGCGCTAGCTATTTTAGCTTGATTGTCAACATTGGTTCGAAGCTTGATAATGGTTCTTATGATAGAGCTAGTGGTATAGCTTCAGGTGCAGTATCAAACATTCGTACAGTGGCAACTTTTGTAGGGATAACATTAGGTTGGAGGGAGTGGTGCCTCCGAAACCGCACTCCCTTCGTTGCCACGTAAGCGTCATGTCATTTTTATTACAAAAGTGCGGTTCCTTGCCACACCCAAGGAGTGGTGTCACACTTTATTTTTAGAAAAAAAAAATTAATAAAAACTTTAATTTCTCCCCACCCAATCACAAAACAGTCAAATTATCTACACCCAATCACAAGTCGCAGCCATTTTTTGTCGCACTGCGGTTTAAACCGCACCCAGGGGGCGGTGTTCGCTGCTTATGTGGCGAAACCGCACTCCCTGGAACTGCACCACACCCTCCAGCCTTAGGGTTCTCTCAAGGTGCAATGTAGCATCGTACTTGAAAAATCTATCCGATTTTAACAATGTCATCCAATTATAAAGCCATTTTCACTACTGTAATTGGGTAGATTTAGTTTGATTGATGTTTAAAGACTTTGTCAAACTCAAATATCCATTAATTGGAGTTAGAGAATGCACTTACATTAACTAAAGACAAAATTACAAAAACGGTCTCTGTGGTTTGCCAAAAGTCACAAAGTCAGTCTCTGCTACTTTTTTTTGATGCAAATGGTCATTGTGGTTTGTAAAACTTGCAAAGTTGACCCTTTTTACTAACACTCTGTTAGGGCATTTTCGTTTTTTCGACCATTTTTTAAGTTTCTTTGAAAAAATGATTTAATTTGCTAAAAGATGGGGGAAGGCTCGAACTCACGACCTCCACACCCATTTTATTGTCAAAGCCTTAACCAGTTGAGTTGAATGTTCAATTGGTTATACTTCCTAAAACAAACATATATAATAATCAAAACTTTAAAATTTAAATAATAAATAAATTAAAAAACATTTTTTTACATAACTTTTTTTTAAATAAAACAAAATGTATTCGTATTATAAAAAAAAATTTACAAACAATTTGTATGTATTTATTTTACGTAAAATATATTTTTTTATGTATTTAAAAAATACGTTTTCGTATAAAAAAATATGTTTTCATAAAATATTTTTTTTATGTCTTTGAAATAATAATAATTAACACTACTCATGACATAAAAAAATATATATAAATTCTTTTGGGTCGCTAATTCTCAAATACGTATTTCATCTTATTTAACATACATATTTCATCTTATTTAAAATATATATATCATCTTTTTTAAATACATATAACCGAAAAACGGTTTTCAGAAAAAAACCATTTTTTGTTTAAATACATAACAAAATCGTTGTTAAGTTGTTTTTAATACATATAACCGAAAAACGGTTTTAGAACTAGCAAACCAAAAGAATTTATATATATTTTTTATGTTATGAGTAGTGTTAATTATTATTATTTCAAAGACAAAAAAAAATATTTTACGAAAACATATTTTTTTATACGAAAACGTATTTTTTAAAGACATAAAAAAAAATATATTTTACGTAAAATAAATACATAAAAATACATACAAATTGTTTGTAAAAAAACTTTTTTTTATAATACGACTAAAATACATTTTGTTTTATTTAAAAAAAATTATGTAAAAAAATGTTTTTTTGTAATTTATTTATTATTTAAATTTTAACGTTTTGATTATTATATATGTTAGTTTTAGGAAGTATAACCAATTGAGCATTCAACTCAAATGTTTAAGGCTTTTGCCAATAAAAGAGGGGTGGAGGTCGTGAGTTCGAGTCTTCCCCACCTTCCTTCAACAAATTGATTCATTTTTTCAAAGAAACTTAAAAATGGTCCCTGTGGTTTATCAAATGTCACGAATTCAGTCCCTTTATATTTGAAAAGACGAAAATGCCCTTATAGATTTAGTCCCTAACGGCGTTTTACTAACGGTGTTAGTAAAAATGGCCAACTTTGCAAGTTTTACAAACCACAATGACCATTTACATCAAAAAAAAATTAACAGGGACTGACTTTATGACTTTAGGCAAACCACAGGGACCATTTTTATAATTTTGTCTTAATTAAAGTCTCTGCCATTTGTTGCTGTTCCAACCAAGAAATATATAATTAATTAATTTTTGCTATTTTTGACATGCAGGAGCTTCTTCAACAAACGACACTTGGACATGGCCAAATAGAGTTGGGTAATCATTATATAAATGTAAACATGTCATACTCATAACTACAGTACAGGAAGAAGAAGCCACACTGAAATAAAACAAGTTATAATCAACTAAAATGTCAAAACTCAAAAGCATTAAACAATTCCTTCTAATTGATAGCGCCTGCAAAAAATATATAACTTTTTAATATAATTCCTCAAACGAATCATTGACCATCTCTCACATACCACTTATGTTTTAAACAGAAACCAAGAAAAAAGCTGACCAACTTCTGCATGCAGTAAGTAACCTCTTTCTTCCATGGCAGAATTTTCCGGCGAGATAGACCACCGCAGCTCCACCTCCATCCACCGGCCTCACCACCCAACTCCATCCCGCTCCCACCAGTCTCCTTCTCTCTCATTCTACAGCCCTCACACATACCCATTCCCATCTTCACAAAGAACCCGACATAACAACCACCGTGTACCTCCCACCACCCCTTTTGCCTCCGACAATGACCGGTCATGGCAAGCTGAGATCTCATGGCAGTTTGAACCGCAAGACAACCGTAGCACCGCCGCCCTTGGTGCAGCTCTAAGCCCATGGGTCGGGCCCATACCCTCACACTCACCCTCCCCGACTCCTACACCTGGCAACCGTGTATTCCGCCAATCAGCTAACGAATTTTATCTTTCTCGTACTTCTAATAGTTATGATGTTAACTTTCGTAACTTTACAAATCCACATTATGAATATTCCAGTGTGTTGTCTCCTACTCCTGGTAGAATCGAACTCCAAAGCTTTGTCGACAATCATCAGCCACATAGCACTTCCTTCAATGCTGGTTACACTAAGTCTCCTACTTTTGCAAAAATGGGAAATCGTACCCCTAGAAAAAGTAATGCTGAATCTTTTATGAGTGATTATGATGATGATGATATAGAGAATGAAACAGGAGGAAACAAACAAGATCCCCGATGGTTCTCTGTTTCACGTGCTTATGTTGATCATGATCATATGGGGGGATATGATAATGATGGGCAAAATAGTCCTTACGGGATTTCTTTTAGGAGCCATGATTATAATAGTAATCATAGTCAGTATCTTCAAAGTTACGTGGAGGAGGGGGACGAGGTTGACGAGGATGAAGTTGTAGCACCAAAAAGCATCGGGGTTTTTGGGTTGTTTAAGTATTTGACAAAATTTGATATGTTTCTTGTAGTAATAGGGTGTTTGGGTGCTTTGATAAACGGCGGGTCTTTACCATGGTACTCTTATCTTTTTGGAAATTTCGTCAATAAAATTGCTTTAGATAACGACAAGGACCAGATGATAGAGGATGTCAGAAAGGTAATTTATTTATTTATTTTTTACTCTTATTGAGTTATTTCTACATCTTCATCTAATTTTTTTGGCGTATAAACATCAGGTATGTGTGCTAATGGCGGGGTTAGCAGGAATAGTGGTGTTTGGAGCTTATTTACGTAGGTTTCTTTGTCAAGTGATATTTTTATATATTAAGTATAATTATTTATTAATAATATGATTGTTATAACTGATAGAAATTGGTTGTTGGCGATTGGTGGGGAAAGATCAGCTCATAGAATAAGAACCAAATACCTAAGAGCAGTTTTGAGACAGGATGTTAGCTTCTTTGACACTGACATTAGTACTAGTGACATCATGCATGGAATCTCAAGTGATGTTGCTCAAATCCAAGAAGTTATGGGGGACAAGGTATAATCTTTTTAAGAAAAAACATGATCTATGTTGACTAATTTTGTGTCCTTCGTTGGTGTTTGACTTGGTGAAATTTGTGAAATGCTGCAGATGGCACACTTCATTTATCACATATTTACCTTCATCTGTGGCTACACAGTTGGGTTCTTAAAATCTTGGAAGGTTTCTCTCGCAGTTCTTGCTGTGACTCCATTAACAATGTTCTGTGGCATTGCCTATAAAGCAGTCTATGTCGGCCTTGCTACAAAAGAAGTGGTAAGAATTAAATAAAACCATAAAAAACACTCTGACATATTTATTTATATTCATCTAATTTTTGATGTTTTATTTACAGAATTCATATAGAAAAGCGGGAAGCATAGCAGAACAAGCCATAAGTACAATCAGAACTGTATTTTCTTTCGTGGCAGAAGAGAATTTAGCAGCAAAATATGATGCAGTATTGGAGGAATCAGTTCCAGTAGGGAAAAAACTGGGTTTTGCAAAGGGTATAGGAATTGGTGTGATATATTTAGTTACTTATTCAACATGGGCACTAGCTTTCTGGTATGGATCTATTTTGGTGTCAAGAAATGAGTTATCAGGTGGTGCAGCCATTGCTTGCTTCTTTGGTGTCAATGTTGGTGGAAGGTAACTAACCAGCCAACTAACTAACTAATTAACCACCTATATAAACATATTCACACATAACTTGTGTGTGATGCAGGGGATTGGCATTATCTTTATCATATTTGGCTCAATTTGCACAAGGGACAGTAGCAGCTAGTAGAGTGTTTGAAGTTATAGATAGAATCCCAGCCATTGATCCTTATAGTACCTTAGGAAGAAGGCTTGATAATGTTCGTGGAAAAGTAGAGCTTAAAGGTGTTTCTTTTGTTTACCCATCTCGCCCAAGTGTCCCGATTTTGAATTCTCTAAATTTGGTGATTCCATCTCAAAAAACTTCAGCATTAGTTGGTGCTAGTGGGGCAGGAAAGTCCACCATTTTTGCTCTTTTGGAAAGATTCTATGATCCTAATGAAGGTAATTAAGAGCTTGATATACTTTAAATTACAATTTGGTTTTGAAGCTAATCTTGGTATAAAAATTAAAAATGGCAGGTTTAATAATGGTGGATGGTGAAGATATAAGAAGTTTACAAGTGAAATGGCTGAGAAGTCAAATGGGGATGGTGGGTCAAGAGCCTGTCTTGTTTGCAGACACAATTCTTGAAAACATTTTAATGGGGAAAGAGAATGCCACTAAGAAAGATGCCATTGCTGCTTGTGTTGCAGTGAATGCACACAAATTCATATCTGATTTACCACTAGGGTATGACACACAGGTAGGGGACAAAGGAAGCCAGCTGTCAGGAGGTCAAAAGCAACGTATTGCATTAGCTCGTGCTATGATCAAAGATCCTAAGATTCTTCTTTTAGATGAGCCCACAAGTGCTTTAGATTCAAACTCTGAGTCTCTTGTTCAACACGCCATTGATAACATCTCAAAAGGAAGAACCACAATTGTGATTGCTCATAGACTCGCAACTGTCAGAAATGCTGACATGATTGTTGTTCTTGAGCAAGGATCTGTTGTGGAAATCGGTGACCATAATCAGCTCATGACAAGAGAAGGAGCTTACTTTTCTCTCATCAAGCTTGCATCTGAAGCTGTTTCAATGAGCCCAGTAGCCGAAAAGGGCAAAATGGGTATTATAAATCATGAAGCATCTGGTAATTATGATCTGTTGAAATCAAACCATGTGTATGAGATTTCGTTATCTGGCTACATGAAATCCGCTCAAGAAGCAAACCAAGTAGAAACAGAGAAAGTATCATCATATGGGATTTCTCAAGTATGGAAATTACAGAAACCAGAGGCGAGTTTGCTTTTTGTTGGTGTAATTTTTGGTATACTTGCAGGTGCGATTCTCTCCTTATTTCCATTGGTTTTAGGTCAAGCCCTAAAGGTCTATTTCAATCCAGAAAAGTCAAAATTAAAGAAAGATGTGGGGTACCTTTGTTTGGCATTGATCGGATTAGGGTTTGGGTGTATTCTCACCATGACGATTCAACAAGGATTCTGTGGTTTGGCGGGAACAAAGCTCACAAAGAGGGTTCGTGATGTTCTTTTCCGGTCAATACTGAAACAAGAACCCGGTTGGTTTGACTCGGACCAAAACTCAACCGGAATACTTATTTCAAGATTGTCTGTTGACTGTATAAGTTTCAGATCAGTTCTAGGAGATAGATATTCTGTTATATTCATGGGTTTGAGCTCAGCTGCTGTTGGACTTAGTGCCTCGTTTTATCTTGAATGGAGGTTAGCCCTTTTGGCTACTATTCTTACTCCATTTACACTTGGCGCTAGCTATTTTAGCTTGATTGTCAACATTGGTTCGAAGCTTGATAATGGTTCTTATGATAAAGCTAGTGGTATAGCTTCAGGTGCAGTATCAAACATTCGTACAGTGGCAACTTTTGCAACTCAAGAAAAGATCGTTCAATCTTTTGAGAAATCTTTGTTGGAGCCAAAAGCAACTTCTGTGAGAAGATCGCAACTTACAGGGATAGCATTAGGGTTCTCTCAAGGTGCAATGTACTCTGCGTATACTCTGGTTCTGTTTTTTGGGGCTTACCTTGTGAAAGAAGATTACACGACGTTTGGAGATGTGTACAAGATCTTCCTGATCCTTGTTTTGAGCTCGTTTTCGGTTGGACAACTGGCGGGTCTTGCTCCAGATACTTCAATGGCGTCTACTGCAATTCCAGCGGTTTTTAATATTCTTAATCGTAAGCCATTGATTCACGGGAAAGACAAAACGATGGAACGATCAAGGCCGTATGATGTGGAATTTAAGATGGTGACTTTTACTTATCCTTCTAGGCCAGATGTGACTGTTTTGAGGGATTTCTGTTTGAAGGTGAAAGGTGGAACCATGGTGGCGGTCGTCGGAGGGAGTGGTTCTGGGAAATCGACGGTCGTATGGCTTACACAACGGTTTTATGATCCGATCCGAGGGAAAGTTTTGATGGGAGGAGTGGATTTGAGGGAGCTTGATTTGAAATGGCTGCGTCTTCAAACTGCTTTGGTGGGTCAAGAGCCTGCTTTGTTTGCTGGCACCATTCGAGAAAACATACGATTCGGAAACCCTAATTCTTCAATGTCGGAGATTGAAGAAGCTGCTAAAGAAGCTTGCATTCACAATTTCATCTGTGGTCTCCCTCTAGGTTATGAAACTGAGGTATAATTCCGAACCAAATCACGATACATTTGTAATTTAAATTGCTGTTTACCTTAACGATTGCCGGTTTTCAGGTGGGTGAGAGTGGGATTCAGATGTCAGGAGGTCAGAAACAACGGATTGCAATAGCTAGGGCAATAGTGAAGAAATCAAAGGTGTTGTTACTAGATGAAGCAACCAGTGCACTGGATTTGGAATCGGAGAAGCATGTTCAAGAAGCGCTTAGGAAGATCACCAAACGGACCACCACCATCGTGGTGGCTCACCGCCTCTCCGCCATTAGAGAAGCCAACCTTATAGCGGTGGTTCAAGATGGTAAGGTGTCTGAATATGGAGCCCATGAGACACTCATGGCTTCCAATGTTGATGGTGTTTATGCTAGCCTTGTTCGAGCTGAAATGGAAGCTAATGTTTTTGGTTAATGGAATCCCCCATTAGTGTACTGTAAATAATCTTATGAACTATTCAGCTAATCTTAATGAACTATTCAGTTTTGGTTTGCCCCGTATTAACTACAACGTTTCTTTCGTGACAAATCTTCAAATATGAAATCAGCCATGGTATTGAGTTTTTATTGAATAATCATAAAAATTTAAAATCGATGAAGTTATTTAATAAAAAAATTAATTTGTTTAGTATAAATTGACTATCAATTTTAATCGCAAATTGAGAATTTGTATTGATGATCTTCGATATTCTTCATCACAATGAACTTAAAAATAATATTTTTTAAAATAAATAGATATTTAAAAAAACAATATATATTTAAAAAGTTATGGTAAAAAAAATCAATTTTAAACTCTTTTGATTTGGGATCCTAACAATTTGAAAGTTTTTTTATTTTATTTGTTTATTAATAACATAAATAATAATTTTTTGAAAGGCTTGTAAAAATACATATCTTAAAAATTTAGGAAAAATGTCATTATAACCCAACAAACTAACACTTTTTATTTTAAAAAGTCACTGATTTTTTTTTTTTTTTTTGCATCGTAGGGGTGTAAACTTGATTTTAACCTGTTAATCTAGGTAACTTACCTCCTACTACAGGTTTCTCATGACATATATAAATAATATCAAATGATGTGGCTTGCTTATTTTCCACCGTGGATTCCCTTTGCCTGCTGACATTAGGACTCATAGTTTAAATCACTTCAAAATTCAACCATCACCTATGTTTATTGTACTCCTCTATTCACCTTCATCTCCGGCACTCTCCTTAACCACCAAACTGCCATTACAGTTAATATGCTTTTTCTCCCAACCAGCTTATCAACCACCGAAAAATTGATACCATTGACTATGCATCCATTACACATAATCGTTTATGATTCGGGAAAGATTTCAAATCTATCCCTAGTTTTACTAGATCTGAAGGACGGAACGATAGCGGCGATGCTTGATGATTTGCCACGGACGACGGTCATGGTTGTTGATTCGCTACAAAACGAAGACGACGATGGTTGTGATCCACCACAGACGGAAACGACGGCAACACTGGTTGTTGATCTGCCACAGACAGCAACGATGGTTTTTGATACCGTTATAAACGACGGTGACGATGGTTGTTAATCCGCCACAGATGGTGGTCGGTAAGAACCTAGTCATGGTCATGGGACAAGTATTGAAATGTTGGTTTTTGTTTCACCCATTCACTTCCAAACAACAGGATTATTGGTTTGATTTTTGTTAGAGACGGTGGTGGTTTGGATTAATGTTTGATTGCAGATGATCTGAATTTTTTTCTAGGCTTTTTAGTGTTCTGGTTTTATTAGATTTTCAATATGTGTTCATAGTGATTGGTGGACGATGGTGGGAGAGGTAGGTGTCTGATGGTGGTGTTGGTGGTGACCTGAAATCTTTCATGTATGTATTGATTCCACTACAAATCTTTCACGTCTTTCCCATAGATTCATTTATGATTTAGGATTTTGTTGCAGATTGATTCCGGATAGTTGGAATTACCAAGTTGCAATGCCAGCTACCATTAATGTTTTCTTCATCGTTGTTAGCTTCAGATTGTTGTATATGGTGGCTTTAGTGGTTATGGATGGTGGTGGTGAAATCATTTAATGAAATAGATATTAAACTTGATGATTGGACTTCTTACCGGTAACAAATTAAGAAATTCAAAAATAAGGACATTTTAAAACAAAAAAATCAAGTATACACCCCTAGGATGCAAAAAAAAAAAAAAAAAAAAAAAAAAAAAAAAAAAAAAAAAAAAAAGACAAGGGGCCTTTTAAAATAGAATGTTTTAGTTTGTTGGGTCTCAAAAACATTTTCCCTAAAAACTTATAAAAAACTTTATAAGCTTATCGTTTCAAAAGAAATTATAATAATAGCTTATATATTAATTTAATAAGTCATCAAATACTATTTTATGACGAGCTTAAAAATATAAGCTTACATAATATGATAATATATATTACATAATAAGATAATTTATGTTTTTATATTATCTATGAACAATTTTGGTGGTGGATACAATTAGTTTGGCAGCAAGTTACGACAAGAAAGGCGAGTATTAGCGGCGACGTCTTTAGCGGCAACAGCCACTATTAGCGACGACAACCAACATTTGCGTTGGTTCTTGCCGCTAATAGTGGTTGTCGCCGCTAATACTCTTCAACCACTATCCGTGTCAAAGTCTGAGATTACACCCTATCTGTCGATCTTGTTGCAAATCTAACGGTTTGGACCTCGTTGCGTACATAACTTAAAGTATAATTAATCTAATTTTTAATGTTAAATAGGACATCACTCGAATCGAAGCATTTTGTAAGACTAATACCAATCGCCAATGGGTATTTAGTTCTTTTGTATTTTCATATAAATGTTTATATCGTCAAGGGGTATTTAGTAATCTAATTTTATGATGTTTATCAGTTTTTGAAAATACAACATGCTTTACTCCAAGAGATCAATCAACAAACCCAAGTTTCTTTTGAAGCAAGCGGTCTAAAACCAAATGATATAAAAAATTGTTTTGAAAGAATATTGGGTTCTCCACACAAACATATTAGAGGCACTGGGCATAAACCTTCTATGATTGTGTCTATGTACGATCAGGAACAACCGATGACATAACCACCACCACAATCACAAGTAATTGTTAATTTAAGTTGAAAAGTATAATGTTATAATGGAAAAACGAAAAAAAGTAGGATGCTATAATGATATGTTGGTAATTGTTTGTTTAGTATATAGTACAATGTTCTAATGGAAAGTAGAATGCTATAACGATATGTTGGTATATTATGTATTTTGGTAATTTTTAGAAAGTACAATGCTATAATGGAAAATTGGATAAAAAATGTACAATGTTATAATGTATATGCAATATTGTGTATCATGTAGTTTAGTTATAGTTTGATATGTTGGTATTTTGTAGTTTGTTAATTTTTGGAAAGTACAATACTATAATGGAAAAATGAAAAAAAAAGTACAATGTTATAATGTATATGCAATATTTGGATCATGTAGTTTGGTTATAGTTTGATATGTTGGTATTTTGTAGTTTGGTAATTTTTGGAAATTACAATGCTATAATGTATATGCAATATTGTGTATGATATATGTTTAAGTGTATTTGGAAAATAGAATGCTATAATGATATGTTGGTTATAGTTTTATATGTTGGTATTTTGTATTTTGGTAGTTTTTGGAAAGTACAATGCTATTATGATATGTTGATAATATATTTTGTTTTCTTTGTAGTTGGAAATGTTGTAAACAATGCTAAAAGACCCGACCTGTTGTGCAGCACTAGAAGACTGATTTTGCTCATTGCCGTCACGAAATGAAAACGAATAAAACGAGGGGAGTGATGAGGACGAGTAGCTACTTTTTTAAAAAGATAAAACTGCAGAAATGGTCCCTACGGTTTGTCGATTTCTTTGGGTAAATTTCAAAAAAAATTTATTAGCAAAAAATGTCCATATTTGATGGTTTTGTTGTGATTTTGGTCCAAATTTCGTTAAGTTTAACAGTTTGTCTGTTAACTTTTTGAAAATGACAGTTTTAGCCTTAGGAATCATTTCTACAGTTGTATCATTTTACCAAACTATAAGGACCATTTCTACAATTTTTCTTTTTAATTTTATTGAATTAATACACATTCAGTTTTTTTATTAAGTTCTTTTTGATTGGATTATTTATTTATTGGATTATTATATATTAATAAATATTGTTATTAATATATTATATTTATATATTAATAAATATTAATTTATTAGATTAAAAAATTTTAATTATTTTTTTTTAATTTCTTTATTGGATTATTATTTATTAATAAATATTATTTTTAATATATAATATTTATATATTAATAAATATTACTTTTTTGGAGTATTAATTTTTTAATTTTTAATTTTTTATTGGATTATTACTTTTAATTTATTATTTTTATATATAGTAAATATTATTTTATTAGATTAATAGTTTTTAGTGTATAATATTAATTCTTTTAAATTTTATTGGTTCTACCACAAAATCGTCGAAATACACAAAAGTGGCGCATACCATCGTTGAAAATCTTTAGGACCACCACCAACCACCTTCATCGGAGGTTCGACGAAAACACTACCAACATGTTCCACTCTACGATGCCTTAAGCCACCGGCGGTAACCTCTTCACAATCCGTCGGTTCAAACATTATATATATATATATATATATATATATATATATATATATATAACTTGTAGGTCAATCCAAATATGTTAAAATAACACATAACTATAAGTTTTATATCAATCCACATACACCAAAATGAAAATAAAGTATAATACCGAAACAAATATAGTTTTAAATGAATACAAACGCATAATAAAACTTCATAAGATTTACCATATGTTTTTTATTTAGAGAAAATGTAAATATATGTGAAAAGGACCACCAAAGTTTATTATGCAAAATGGTTTTTTCCATGTGTTTTTATTTAATTTAATCAGTTCAACTAGGTTTTTGTAAAAATTGAACGGTTCGTTCTTGTTCAGAAACAGGCATAAAACTGATGATAGTTGAACCACTCATTTCCCCAGTTCCCGATCCAACCGGTTCGACCGGACAGTTCAAACCGGTTTTCAAAACATTGGAAACAGCCTCCATACGACTATTAGTTACTAACACCGTCGTCAATGACGAGAATGTTAGATCTAGGGTTTTCAAACCACCAGATCTGCCGCTAGATCTTTTCAGGTAGTACAGGTTTGAAGCTTCGATGTTATAAGCTTGTGCATGGGTTGTGGAAGGCAACAAATGGAGGAACTGGCCAGGTGGTATGATGCAACGACACAAAGTAGTAAAAGGAAATGAATTGAGGAACTGACCAGGGGTGTTTGGATTTGACTTCCTGGTGGTTCGAATAGTGATGGTTATAGTGGAAAACGACAAGTTTAGTGGTAAATATAGAGGATTCTGACGGATTGTGAAGAGGTTGTCGCAGGTGGCTACTGGTGGCGTTGGGTGGAATAGGTTAGTAGTGTTTCCATCGGACGTCCAATGAAGGTGATTGGCAATGGTCCCGATGATTTTCGACGATGGTATGCAGTGATTTTGCGTATTCCGACGACTTTGTGGTGGAACCAAGAAAATGTAAAAATATTAATATCATACATTAAAAATAAGTTAATAATCCAATAAAATAATATTTGTTATATAAATAAAATAATAAATTAGATGTAATAATCCAATAAAAAAGAATTAATCTAATAAAAAAGAAATTAAAAAAATTAATCCAATAAAAAATATAAAAAAATTTAATTAGAAATTAATAATATAATAATGTAATATTATTAATATCTAAATGTTATATATTAATAATAATATTCATTAATATATGATAATCATATAAAAAAAATTAACCCGATAACAAATGAAATTAAAAAAGAATTAATGTATAATAATTCAATAAAACTAAAAAGAAGCAGAATTAATGTATAATAATTCAATAAAACTAAAAAGAATAATTGCAAAAATGGTCATTGTAGTTTGATAAAAAGAGAGACAACTACAGAAATGATCTCTAAGGGTAAATTGTCATTTTAAAAAACTTAACAGTCAAGTGTTAAATTTAATAAAATAATGACCAAAACCACAACTAAACTACAAAATAAGGACATTTTTTTTGCTAATAAACTATTTTTGGACCTTATCCAAAAAATCGGCAAACCACAAGGACCATTTCTGCGTTTTTGACTTTTTAGGATTTATGAAATGTTTTATTTGGGTTAGTATTTTGGATATATTGCACTCTCTTTAGATTAATATTTTGGACCGGATGTCTATGAATTAATATTTTATATTAGATATATTATTAAGTGTGATTAGTGTTTCGAACTATTTTTCTGCAAAATTAAGTTTTGTAGTAGTTTTTATACATGTTATATTGTTTTATATATATATATATATATATATATATATATATATATATATATATATATATATAGAGAGAGAGAGAGAGAGAGAGAGAAAGAGAGAGAAAGAGTCAGGTTCAAGTATTTTAACTAATTATTGTGCGGATATCGTATGTTATGAGAATGATAAAGAAAATAGGTTGTTTGATAATAT